GGGACTTGTCAGCTTTATGTCTCAGGGTGACGGGTGCAGTGACAATGTCCCGCAGGTCTTTGCGATTAAAGGTCTGATTGGCACTGTCGCTTACCGTCGTCGACGTAAAAATTATTGAAAACCCGTATTTTTTTTATAATATCAAGTGTCGAGACGAACAAGTCGTGCACCCGATACCATCAGGCTACACGCCTGTCCATAACAGTTGCAGTGCCATTCAGAGCTTTAAATCATAAAGATCTGAGGGGCGCTGCGACTGCGCCCTTCACCCTGAGACATAAGTTACCAAGTCCCATGTGCCTGTAATTTCACCAGCTCCCTTACCCTTCATAACAGGAACATGCTGACATTACTGCTTGGCGGCAGAAATAGGTAAGGTGGCAGTGCTTAATTGGATGAACTCATTCACAAGGAGCTGTACTGCTACTGCTAATTTAATTTAATTTGCAGTCCGCCATTTTCGCTTTGTATGGTATGGTTGTGTCATTCTTTCGTGCAAATTTTAATAAATTTTCAATTTTATCCGCTCACGCGATGCGCTCCTCCTACCGCAAAATGGCGGCTACTTGGTTTCGCAAATTAGAAAAGGATTCAGTTTAAATACAAGTTTTTAAAAATAAAAATTATTATTCTGCATTGCTAAATAAATACCCTCCGTACTACAACAAAAACATCTCAAATAAAATGCAGTAATACACCGCAAATCCTGCACTTAAAAAGCACTAATGAAATTTTTGGTGTACTTGGGTAAATATGATAATATTCCGTTTGAGTGGTTCTAATGTTTACCATGAAATTATTCCTTAAAGTATAGTTTATAAACATTTATATTCAGGGTAAACTTAAAAAACGCAACTTACGGTATGTTTTCAATAAATAAACACCGACATCACCAGCCCAAATAATAACACACACGATTGTCGTGACGTATTTTTCAAGTTGTTTATTTTTTTAAATGACAGACCCAGGCATTAAAAACTTTATGGTTTGTTAGAGTAGTTACCGAAATAGCAATTAGTATTAGTTCTTTTACCTGTTATAACTTCGATATCCGATAAATCGGTATAAAATCATCACCGGCACCTCTAGGTGTGGTATGCTTCCAGAGACGCATGAATCGCGTGAGCGGCTAAGTTAGAAATTTTCTGGAAGAAACGAAAGTTAAGCTTATAACATCTGCAATATAGTTGCTTCTTTTTTGGAGAACTAAATTAATAACTAATATTCGTCGTCGATTAACCGATAGATGGCAGCATATGAATTGAAATTTCAATGTAATATCAAAACGTTGTAACTTACAATAATAGGTATAGATAGTATTGGACTTTCAACGATATGCCAACAGGGTGAAATTTAAATTATATTAACAATCCAGAATTTTTTATTTCTTTTTAAATTTGAAACTACGACCAAACAATATCAAGATTTTGTAATGTTTCAAATTATGAATGTGTGAGTTTTGTAGACATCGATTTTGATAGTAAACGAGACTTAGAGCATTTCCATAGTTTTTTTCTTCCGTGCTTAAAGCAGTCTTCACTCGCTAGAATGGGTACCTTGTTATCAACTTCATTAGCAACACAGTATAATTTTTGGTAACACAACATGCAATGTTTACGGTTACAGTTAGTTAGTGTGTACCCGGCTTTACTTGATATAACAAAATAATACATATATAAGAAATAGGTACCGAACTTACCTAACTCATAAAGTAATTTTAACTTGCTTAGAGATTACTTGACCGACCAGACGCTAACTTCAAGTTACAAATTTCTCTCAAGTTAGAAATAAGACGGTAGTCGAATATCTTCTGAGAATATATTGTAAGCTAATATGACATAGTGCTTACGTCACAAGTGCTTATATTATTTTTTATTTATGAGCTGTTCAGTTATGGGACATATTAAGCGAGGGGAGGAGGTTACAAATGTGAATTCCGGTGTCAAATAACGTGGCAGGAAATAAAGCCTTCAGCTAATCTACATAAAACCCTTGTTACAATGACACAAGGAACATAGACAATCAGTATTCTCACAGATCTAATTGCATCAGAAAACTTCTCTGTTTTTCTGCATTATTCACTTACATTTAAAGGCAGCGTATTCGCGTCAATATTTACAGAATTTAAATATTAATGAATCTTACAACAGTTGTCTACATAATTTACAAAACCTTAATTGATGCGAATATTTAAAGACACTATCTTAACTAAGGACAGAAATATATGTATACCAAGTTGTAAACAAAATTAATCACAAAAAGCAAAATGGAATTTACAGTGTAAAACACACACACACTGGTAACTCATGTCTTGCATTTTGTGTTCAATTTAGCGTTTTCGCTCTTTGATCCTTATCAGTGGACACACAATAATCAATAATATGAATACGATCTAAGGTTTGACGTTGACTGTATAAATTGCATTAAATTGGATTACTGGATCGTATTTAGTAATATTGATTGTGCCACATTATACTATTCTATTCTATTTTTAAGTTTCTGGCTTCTCTTGTAGAACTTTGCCAATGTCGTGTCAGTCATGGGAGTTACGCTTTCGTTTTTTAGATGTTTAGTTAACGAACACTGCTCGTTAGTCTATTCCGGCTTCTGGAACAATACAGAACAACATGATATACCATCACCGTTACGAATATTTAAATAAATAACCAACCACATCCAACCATTTATTAAACTTTTGACAGCTCGAATTCTAATCAAGTAGTGATGCCCTAATGCGTTTCCGTTTCGATTTTTTTATATTAATCGATTTTATTTATGTACAAGTTTAAATCGTGAATTCGGGATCATGATGATATGTTTGACAATTTGTGTGCTCAAGAGTGATGAGTCCCGTTCATATGGAGAAGAATCCGACGATTCATTATAATAAACAATGAAAATGTATTATAATTATTTATAATTTATTTCATTTCATTATAATTTATTAGACAGGCACCAGAATTTATCAACTTTAACAATCTTCGTTACATAATCTGTTGGCTCGATAAATATCAGAGCTAAAGAGCACGTCGCATAGCTAAAATTAAAAAATAAAAGAGTCTATAGTCCATTTGTTTAGGTACTTAACTAAATGTAAACAATCTTGATACATCTTTTTATTGAAACACATGCTTTACAAATCAATAGGTATAAAAATAGGCATGCAATTTCATATGAAGCTAAGTATTTGTATTTTGTATTTTAAATCATTTTATACATGTATATTTCATTAAATAGACATCTCAAGATTGTTTACATTTATTTAAGTACCTAAACAGATGGACTATAGGAAGTATTGCATTTTTTGTCTATGTTTGTATGTCAATAACTACGGAACTTCAGAGGCATGCATGTGTCAAAAGTTAAATAAATGGTTGTCCCACATTAGAAGCAGTATAAGTAACGTCAAATGTCTTGAACCGTAAATCCATACTAGGCGACCTGACGGAGAATTGGAGACTGGCGATTGCCTTATTTAAAAGTAAGAGTTTTGCAACGAGATCCATTACGTACACTCAAGTTCTGCTTCAGAAACTCGTAAATATACTATCATCCTTACTGACGAAAATGTATACTTTTATTTTTGGCTGTAACGAGCTCCGTGCTCATTATTTCGCCTCGTTTTCACACTGGTTTAGACATTTGACGTGTACTCCAAGCAGAACAATACAAGCATGGGACAACGCTCTGGTATGTATCGCTTTCTTACAAATAACATAATGTTGCCATTTCAATGTTGTGTATAATTTCTTTAACAAATGCTAGCGTTATCGACGCTCACCAGAGGGCGCTTCTGTTTGGTCTTACAGTAAAATATTGATTAGAGATAATCAGATTTTTTTTTTAGTTTATTGACAGTAAATTCAGTTGTCCTCTGCAGGCTTTATATGAGCACCTTTGTTGATAAATATCATTGTGTTAACCAAAGATATATCTTCCCCAATCTAGTCAATATGTTCTCAAAAATTAAGAGTTACCGTTACTTCAGTCTGTAGACAAAGGGAAAGTATTTTTCATTTTTCTGACTATTTGTGCTACATTATTATTCGGACTTGGATATTCTGTAATTTGCTCAATTAAATCAAATCTCAATTGCATGTTGAAATGGCAACATCCGAAACGCTTTTTTTCATTGCAGTGTTGACAGCTTCACTATACCTACTTATCTAGCTAGCTTTTACATAGTTATATGCATCCACAACAGTTTTAACTATTAACATACAGATTGTACACCCGAAAGGGAAGGTTCACCATAAGATGGAAAATGATGAATATAGAAATGCTTTCGTTTTAGACAGAGACAACAATAGTTTTGTTTCTGAAGTGTAATTTAATTATATATTCACAGGAAACTGAATCAACCAATTGCATTGGTTTCTGATCACGTGATCATGGACCAATCATTAGCGGGGAGAAAAATGTTTCCCTGCCCGTACTTCCCATATTCTTAGCAATATTGACTTGCTGGCTTTGATTTATTTAAAAGAGATTATTGTTTGATTTCAAAGATTTTTATTTATAGATAATTTCTACACAGCTTTAGTACATTTTCTCTAGAATTTTCTATAGATTTTAAGTTTTTTGGTGAACCTTTTTTTCCTACCGTACTACAGTTATCTATATAAGCATTGTTAATTATATTAAAAAAAGAATCTTCCATGCACATATAAGAACAAGACAATCACACTCAAGGTTTTATAGACGCCAAAAAAATGAAGAAGACAGAGAACAGAAAAATCGCCGTCATATTGAATTTATTACCGAAAAAAGCACACCAGAACAACACAACAGAGACATGCCTCAAAAAGACACCACAAAAATCGATGTTTATGAGAACCAAAAGATTGGAATATATTTTCTTTATATAATTGTTCTATTTTTGTAGCTTTTCATGAAATTGGCATGCATCGTTAACGCTAATACGAGAAAGAGATAGACAGATAAAATCAAGGAGTTAAAAAGAGATGATACGAGTGTGTTCGTCTTTTTTATATGTGCAGGGAAGGAGTGGCTTGTCATGACAAGTTGACGACGTGAAGATGTTGTGGCTGACATGTTTGGGTAAGTGTTAAAAAATGCTGTAACGCCCGTGACACACGATACTTTTAGCGTCCGAAACGGAAGGTCGGTTGGACTGTCACACATTCGAGGGTTTTTCACGATAATTGGCATCTTTGATGACACGGTTCCGTAGATCCCATATAACGAGGGCGATACAATTGTTAAACTCATGATGCCGATGCTGTTTACTCTAGGAATCAATCGACCGTGATACATAATCCTCAGATTATGAATCATAGTTTCAATAAAGATTGGAATCCAATGGACCCTCCGTATTTTTTTTTATAAGTGTAATTTTTCGCGATTGTTACAAATTGCAAATGAAACTATTTTGCGTCAACCGTGACTAACGGTGGTCAACATTGGTTTGTTTTAAAAAACAAACACACGCGATATAGATCCGGAAAAAAAATTGTCCATCTTCTATTTTACCATTCATTTAAATAATATTTTTTAGTTATTATTAATATTAGACATAACTGGTTGAAGGCTTGTACCACCTCAGTCAACCGTGACCATGGGACCTGTAAATGGCCCGAAATGTCGGTTTGTTTGAAAAAACAAATACACGCGATTTAAATCCGGAAAAATAGTTTCATTTCCCATGTGTGACAATCGCGAAAACCTAAGAACTCGATAATTTTCCACTAGTTTGGAAAATTTCGGACAACTTCCTAACACTCGAGTAATGCAAGACGTGGATAATTCCTACCTCTGATATCCCGGAATTACTCTTCGGTACTATATAAAGAATAAAATTTAATATTATATGTAAAAATATAACTAAGTTACAAGTATAATTGTAAAAAAAAAATACATTTATTAAGAGCGGTGGCCCCTTGGTGTGGCAACAGATGCTGCTTCTAATCCAGTCAGATGAAATGAATTTTCCATTGCGTTTGTTCAATCTCTATATCTATAAATAATAATTACAAACTTGCGCAATATTTTTACATAAAATACATGAATATCGTGGTTGGAATAATATCATGAAAATATCTTTATTTTATTTTGGTTTCTATATTTTGTAATCGACCCGGTATTTCAGAAGGAGGTATTTATTTATTTATTTATTTATTTATTTATTCATTGGCACAACTACAGAATACAAAATATTATTCACTCTATGTGTGTTACTTGAGGTTTTGGTAAATATATTCCACCAACTCGGATCTCTGTTCATTATCGATGTCAGAACTGACCAGTGCACCACACGTGCTGTAAGGGGGCCTTTAAAATAGACGCTTATAGAAGCCCTAGTTGTAGCGCAACTGTGGCGCGTTACATCTTACTTCAGTAATTGTGACTGCAACAATTTGTGACTGTGCACTGCGACTAGACATCCTATGAAAATAATTAGTAACTCAATTTTCGTAACGCTATAAACGTCTAATTTGAAGGCTCCTTGAGAGTGTCATTATTCATATTCGCGTTCCGTAATATAGCGACGGAGTGAAACTTGACGGTTTCTAATTACAATATCAAAGTGCCGATGCTAGAAGTATCGTGTGTGTTGTACTTTACCGACATGTGAAACGTTTAACAAATAGGTGCAATAATAATTCGTGGCGTGAAAATGTTTATGACATTGAACGACGTTAGCCAGAAAAATAATATTTTCACCTCAGTGGCTCGGAAAGGCTTTCTATCTCATTAGAAATCTGCGCGCAAGAGAGTTTGGAAAAGGTTTTTGAAATTCGAACTTGACGATGGACTGTGGTCCATCTGTTTCTTTCGATGAAAAAAACATAATGACACGTTCAACTACGCGATTTGTCGTACATTATTTATGTAATATAAATCCGTTGGTATATTCTTATATTTGTTGATATTAAATTGACAACGATAACTAATTTAGTTTTTCTTTCATTTACCATTTTCCTCGCTATAGTGAGGTGAAAAGTTGTGTGTTTCGCTCGGCAGCAAAGTTGTTTTGCGTCTCGTGCCTTAAAACCCTCGCAACGCTCAGGAATCTATTAGGTTCAATCTTAGCTTTCTTCCCTTGATCAGGTTTCAATACAAGCACTCGCGTGAAACAATACAAGACATATCTGCCGAAGAACCGACAACCGCTGGGGTAAACGAGTTCTTGAGTGGAGACCACGACTTGGCAAACGTAGTGTGGGACGCCCTCCAGCCAGATGGAGTGACGATCTGCGGAAGATTGCTGGCAGGAAATGGATGCGTCAAGCCGAGAACAGGGCGAAATGGCGTGCATTAGGGGAGGCCTATGTCCAGCAGTGGACTGCAATAGGCTGATGATGATGATGATGTGTCGGTATTCTTCGGAGTAATCTGTAGTAATACAAACATAATAAAATTTGTTTTCTGAGTGTTCGATCTTTGTATTAATGATTACAACAAACCAGTGGAGTAATTTCACAAAAAATAATTTAATATCAATTCAATAAAAAATTTAAAATACAGTGAATAGCGACATCTCTCGCCAGGACTAGTAGCTGTAAAGGTACTAACTGGGTGATAAATCTTTCATAGATGGCGCTACGTCTAAAAAGTCGTTGAAAAACCAAGTACAAAGACACGACGCAAGCACATAGAAAAATTCGTTGGGTCCGTCGTTGGTTCGTTCCGTGGCTTAGTTGGTATAGCGTCTGACACGGTATGCAAGAAGACGTCGGTTCGAATACGACCGGATCGAAGGAATTTTTTCTGAGTGTTCGATCTTTGTATTAATGATTACAACAAACCAGTGGAGTAATTTCACAAAAAATAATTGAATATCAATTCAATAAAAATTTATAATAAAAATAAATTAAAAATTTTTGGCTTCGGTGGCTGAGTGGTGGTGGGTGGGGATTTTTTTTTATAACATCAAGTGACGGGACAAACAAGTCGTGCGCCTGATGGTAAGCTACACGTCTGTCCATAACAGTTACAGTGTCACTCAGAGCTTGAAATTGCAAAGATCTGAGGGGCACTACCACTGCGCCCGTCACTCTGAGAAATAAGTTGACAAGTCGCATGTGCCTGTTATTTCACCAGCACCCACACAGTAATGCTGACATTACTCCTTGGCGGCAGAAATAGGTAAGGTGGCAGTACTTCCCTGGACGAACTCTTTCACAAGAAGCTCTACTGCTACTAATCAATTAGAGGTGGTATGGGGTTAGATTTTCACGTGCAGGGGCTTCCAGTATTTTGATTTGACAAGATTGATAGTAATACATTACATTTAGCCCGATGTATTCCACTGCTGGGCAAAGACCTCCTCCTGATCCCGATCTTGAGCTAACTGGACCCAAAACTTGTCGTAGGCTCTTCGCTTCTTCGGCCTGCCACGGCGCCTTACTCTTTTAGGGCTCCATTGGGTGTTTACCTTGGCCCACAGGTCTTCAGGCATGCGGCAGACATGACCAGCCCAACTCCATTTCAGATTCGCAGCTTTTTGAGCTACATCAGCAATTTGAGTTTGGGGTGTTCCGAATTCGCTCGGTCCGTTGCCAACCATGCATGCATGCACCAAGCATGCTTCACTCCATTGTTCGTTGACAGACCCCTTAGTTTGGACTATTGGATCTTTGTAAGTGACCAAGTCTGCGCGCCATAAGTTTGTATGGGAAGGATGCATCAGCTTCTTTTTGAGAGATATTGGGAGAGTACCCCCATAAGATCTTTCATGGACCAATAGCTCCTCCAGGCATTATAGATAGTATAATGTATTAACTAAAATAACGATAACTCTCGTATTAAAGGCGAGTCATCAGAGGAGAAGGGGGAAAACTGTTTTGCAAGATCAAATGCTTTAGGTACTTATTGTTAAATAACGGTCCTACAAAAAATATATGATACACATAAGGATATTTTCTGAAGAATGTGCTAATTTGTTACATTATAGGATGTACTTTGTCCAATCACATAAAATCCTGAAAACAGGCTAAAACGAATAACCTGAAAGTAAAATATCTAACTTTGTACATAATTTTTTTTTTTACTACTAGAGAAGAATATTCTTCAAGAAGAAAAATGATCTTTGAAAGAACATTATCTGGTCAAATCGAGAATGTTCTGTTGTAAAGTTTTTTGCTATTTCTGACATTTCTAGTACTTACCTTACTTGGTCCTATAGAGATTTTGGTTTTTATCAGAAACAAGGTCGAATGGCATGAAAAAAATCATGAAAATTGCTTTTATCTAGGTACTGTACGATTTTTCAAAATCTATTTTCCAAGTACCATCAAAATTCATGGAAGTAGCAGTAGAGCCCCTTTGAAAGAGGATAATAATATATAATTTTATATGGAGATATAAGTACTACAGAGAACCTATAAAATTTTGTAAAAACACGAGTATTATTGCACCACTTTCTTACACCACGTAGTTGAAATTTGAAGGCAAAAATACTATTACCACGAATGTACAATTACCCCATTTAATTACTATTTTAATAATAGTTGTAGACATGCACGTAATCTTTTTCTTTTTGTAAGAAAACCTTACCTTATCTTTCCCTAATAAATCCGCCATCTTGCAATCTTTGTCGTCGTCAGTCTCCGTCCTAGTTAATGAGTGGTTTTTTTCAGGCAAACTGCTGTGGGTATAATTAGGGGTGGGGGGGTGCTTTAAGCGTGGGCGGATGAGTGCCTATGATAATGTAAATTGTTAGAAATACTCGTGTTTTGTACATGTTTGGACTAAATTGTGAATTATTGTATGAATATGTTATATGAATGCAAGGAATACAAAATGTCCCGAAAATTCCGTAAAATTTAAGGAGTCATCACACTCATTAACGTGTAATCGGCTTGAGTCGGTCTAGAAAAATCTTTATTCCCATGCAATAATTAAAACTGCTTTTCATTACTTGTTTACTTCGCTGACTCAGTTATCTAAAGTGGACCTTAACTTCCGACACCACTGTACGCCATTTCTTTTGGTATTCGAGATTTTCAGCTCTTTTAAGGTCTTTGGCGACTCCATCCTTCCAGCGAAACTTTTTCTGGCCGACTTAATCCATGTCGATTAGCGTGGTGGCTTCCTTAAGGCTGTTAAAGATAAACGTGTACCATCGTGGGTCACATCATTGCTTTTTTATTGATAAGAAAAATAAAACCGTGATGCCTATAGGTAGTTTTCACGTTATGTATAGATCCGTCGTCACTGAAGTAAGACGTCATGTCACTTAATGTTGTGACCGCCTTTGTCCTCTTGTTACACCATTTAAAGGCCCGCTCCCGCTACCACTGCTCCAGAACATTTAGATTGATGTTATTTTGTTTTGTTTACAGTATCAGAGGATGTCCAGCCAGTGCAACGCAGTGCTCCCCTGCTGCAGTCACCACAGTACACCGGCGGACGGCCCCAGCCTTACAGTGAGTATCTAACACTCTTGAAGGAGACATTTTTATTAAACTTTTTAAACATTAATTATCTAAAGAACTTTTTCTGTGTAGCAAAACATGAAAAGATGTTGAAACGTGTTTCAATTGTAACGACAAACAAAGGTTGAGGCGCGTGACGTGTTGTATGCTTTGGCGGAATTGTAACTTCTATTTGTTTTTTCTTCCGAACGTGCTTACTTCGTCGCGTGACTTCGGTAAAAAACGAGTCAAGAATTTAATTATGCATTGTTTATGCTTCTTACCTATTACCAATGATCGGCCACGCAATGAATAATAAATATACTTTCGGCGAATAAGGTAGTCACCACACTTATCGACACGGAATCCCATCAAGCCGGCCAGAAAAAAAGTTATGTCCATGTGATAAAAACGTCGCTTATTTCGCGTTGGAAGTGAAACGCGCCGTTGTGCGATAAGGACGTTTCCTTATCACTCTCATTGCATGGACATAAAACTTTTTCACAAACTGATTCTGCATGTGGTCACTCCCGAATCAAAGCATAAAGCCGGTCCTACCGTAGAGCGAACGAAGCGGGCGCTCCAGCCACCAGATCGAATGACCTCATCATTTAATAAGTTAGTGCAAGCCAATGAGCATGATTGTTTTCATTCGACAAATGAGACTTACGATGTTATCGAGGTCATTTGAATTTCGAGCATACACACACGACTAACTTTTGGTGCAGTGAACTCCCACTCCTATCCAACCCTCCAAAATAAAATGATTAAAAATGCTTTCATATTATATTAGCAGCCGCAGTATTTTTTTTTTTATTAATTATCGACAAACATACAATTAGACTTTTATCTTTCTCTTTAATTTACTTAACATACTGACTCCTATGAACCGAAGTTGTTTACAAACTACTGAATTCTATGAGTGCGAAAGAGAAGTTTCTTTACGGCGCAATACGTGAAACACAAGATCATTATGAGAAAATAAGCAATATTTGAGCGGCGCTCCGCACGACGTTGCCGTGCCGTGCGCGCCCGATAGTTATAAGAAGCGTAGTGTTGTGTAGTTGCATTGTTTAAAATGGAACAATATAATATGAGTTTCATTTTTATTTCAAATATGTATACGTAAGTGAACTCCCACTGAAATCTCCTACGAGCTGCCTCTGTTCAGTACCATAATTGTATTTCGCTCGCACCTGAATCTAGCCTCAGGCCGGCACTGCATCAATCCGCCAGTCGGCCAGCCATATGTAGCACGCCGACGTCAAAAAAAGGTCACAGCAGCCTTTAAAAACAAAAAATTGACATGAAAACTGCATAAATTTCTGTAGTCAAATAATGTCTAAGCAGGAAACTAAAATAACAATGAAATGTTTGGTAAAATATGAAATTCCAGTGCTCCAGTTCAACTTTACGACTTGAATAAAAATTTAACATGCCACTCATTTCCATTTAGAATAACCACTGTACTGTAATGGAAGCGCTAGTCGATGAGAATAATAAGAGGGGGTGGGAAAAGTGCCCCATTTCTTCTAGTAATTATTCGCATTTCTGCATAAAATGAAGATCACGTCATTTTGAACTTATTATATAATATAACATTATAAAAGAACAATGCCCAAGTTTGTTTTTCCATATAGTTTCTAATTATAGAGGATGTATATTTTTTAACTAGGGAAAGTTGTTTGAAACAACATTTTTTTTTAAGATTATGTTAGTAATGAACATTAATATGTTACTCTATACTACTACTGCTTCAAAAAATTAAATGCGTTGTGGGTATTTATTTTTAAACGTAGTATAACTCAGATTTTGACATATAATTTGGAAGTCTCGCTTGCACTAACATGATTTCTCTAACGTTGAGACAATTAGTTCTTGAATTTTCTGAGAACTTTTGAAGTTGAGAGTCATGTTATCTGTGTCAAGATTATTGTACCTTTCGTCCATAATTGTCTCCAGTTGAAGTTAATCGTTAAACAAAATAATGGCAAATGTTGAAGCTTAAAATAAAATCTCAAAAAGTCGTGTTACCCTGAGCCTTCCATTGTCTCCACGTATTTTTAAAAATTCATATCTTTTTTCTCTAAGTTATTTCCAAATTTTATGAATAAAAGCTATAATTTTTAACCGACTTGGAAAAAAAGGAGGAGGTTCTCAATGCGGCTGTATTTTTTTGTATGTATGACATGTGAACCGATTTTGATGATTCTTTTTTTGTTGCAAAGAGGGTAGGTAAATTTGAAGAGAATATTCCGCCTCTAAGGATGGCTCTAGGGGATAACTTCCACGAACTTTTGAGGACAGTTTTTTTTAGTATTCTATTATGAAGTTATACTAGAACAGTTCGGTCTCCAAACACGTGCACACGACCACTGCGCGGCGGCCCCGATGTTAAGTAGACAAGAACTAACGTAAACGTAAACAAAAACGTAGTCAATTTACTAACGTAAACTGCTTTGTCTGAATGCAAATCCGAGCTCTAATACAAAACTAAAGACTTCTCTTTAATAGTGCTTCGAACTTGAAACCAAAGAGCATCTAGAAGTGACATTGTGTTACGAGCTTTCCAACTCCGTCAGGGTTGCGACTAGAGATGCACTCTCACTGCTATCTATGTATTAGGCAATCGAACTTAACAGGAAGACTGCGTAGTTTGAGAGATATGCTTACTAGAGAACAATTAAGGTCGCTCTATCATGCTTTGATTGCATCTAAACTTGCAAAATAGGGCCATCCGCACTATGGTACGGGTTCCACCTTGGGAGTCATCTCAGCAACACTTCAGGATGTTAGGTTCAGTTAAAAAAAAAAAGGTTAGGTTAGGTATACTCACGGTACCAAGCTTATATAACTTGGTATTGCTGACGGGACTTTTAAAAAGGAGAAGCAACTTTGAATCAAATGTAGAGCAAGGTGAACGAGAAAATACTAGGAGGAAAAATTTTAAAAATCTTATCGATCCCAAATTAAACATTGTGACGCACTGTCCCCAGTATCAGTCTGTGAAATTGTTTAATAAATTGCCCATGGACCTTAAAATTATAAACGACATAAACGTTTTCAAACAAAAATTGACATCTTTATTGTTGGAAAAATGCTGTTACTCGGTTGAAGAGTTTTAAATTAATTAATTGACAATGTTGTGAATTAATATTATTGTTATTTTTTTTTGTATAATGTAAATTGTTTAATTAGCTGCAAGTTGACATTCAAGCGCAATTGTATATTGTATTATGAATAAATTAATGAACGAATCACTTGTGAATCGTTTTATAATACTCTATTTATGTCCCCACTATACTGAATAAACAGATCCCTTTAACAGATGTTAGGGCTTTCATCCCAGGAATTTATATCTCAAAAATTTTGACATGGATATGGTAACACTTGTTAAATGTGTCACTATATCTTGAACGCCCTTTGTTTATCGTGGCTGTCTACGCCATAAAGCCATGATAGCCTTGAAGGTGTGACCTTCTGTTTCTCAAGCAGAGGCTGTGACCTCGAATCTGGGTTCGCACCTCTGAGTCTTCAGAATTAATTTGCAAACTTCATTTGAAATTTACCGTGAGCTTTTCGATTCGAGGAAAACAGCACTGCGGCCATCACCCTGAGATATATGTTGACAATTCCCACCTGCCTGTAATTTCACCAGCACCCTTCTAATGCTTATATTACTGCTTGGCGGCAGGAATAGGTAAGGCAGCAGTAATTCCCTGGACGAACTCTTTCACAAGGAGCTGTATTGCTATTGTACTATAGTCGCAGGTCACATCATTTAATATCAGATGAGATTGTGGCCAAGCGTGTATCTGTTATTTATTAAAATAAAAAGAAAACTGAGGAAGATCGTACGTCAGTTGATATTTCAGCTGTACACCGTTAGGATCAGTTCCGATATGTCGAACACGTTAACTTAGTTTAACTGTTTTTTAAAAGAGAATTTTGTGCTCTATTTTTTGCTGTTTCAAACCATTTGGCATTTGATCTTTTGTCACTTAACCGCGTTTTATTTAGTGGGCGGTAGATCTGCTCTCTATAGTCTGTCGATAGTTTTATCGATAGATTTTGAAAGATGATGAAGTTTAGGCCAAAAATAACTTAGTTGTAAATGTTACGATGTTCTAATGATTACTAATTACGTTATTGCCTTCTTTATTCTTATTTTGACATTTGGCCAAACTAGTAGGAGAGAAATTTTTATTTCTATACATTTTAACAAGAACAACCGAATTTGATTATCTATATTGAATTAAAATGAATAACTTGAAAATATGTCTCCTTTTTGTATTTTTCATAAATATAGTGAATAAATACAGTGAATGTATGGATGAAGCTCAGTTGTCCAGGATGATTCGTATGAAACAAGTTCGGTAATTTGTTCCATAAGCGTGACCAATATTCAGTCGATATTTAGCAGTGTATAAAGCATCACTGTCATTTTACTCCGTCTTCTAAAAGACAGACTTATAGTCTTGCGTCGGAGAAACAGCAGTCGCCCCAAGTTTTTCGTCCATGATCAAACATCTCATAATAGTAAGAACTGCTACTCAAACCACAACTCTACGTAAACCCTTTACGGCGGCGATCTCGCTTTTGCGGAGTTCCGGATTTCGATTCCTGGATATCCCGGACAGCGGGATTTGCCGGCGGCTGTGCCGGGGCAAACAGCGCAGACCGTATTGAACGACCCGTTTTATTAGCAAACACTTTTGCCCATGATAGTTTGAAGCGAATATTTTTTTGAGAGCTGTTAGGAATTTTTAATTAAAAATTCAATGGCTCAATTTGTTTTACAAAAAGAACACTTAACCGCTTATTGTGTACTCTCACCTATATTTTGTCGTGTAATTATTTTTATAAAAGCATTGGAAGTAAAGATCATACGGTTCACAGGTAGTCAGGGTCAGAACTGTTTATTGTTTTCTGCGTGATAGTAAATAGACAATAAGGGTAAAGGAATGCTAAAGAAAAGATGTGTGGATTGTGTGAAAGATGACATGGATAAC